CTGCCCTCTTTCAGGTTCCTCGCCGCCGCCGCCGACCTCACTGACAATCCGCCGTGGGATCTCATGCGGGGCCCGATCTCCTGCATGATAGATCTATTTGTTGGCCCGTGGCAACCCTCCACCTGCAGCTGCCGCCCACGCCCGCATCCCGCACCACAGCCCCCACCGCAGGTTCTCATCGCCGCCACCGATGTCTCGTTCTGTCGTGCTAGGTTGAGCGCCGGCCAGAGCGGGTCGGCCACGGAGATGGCCGTCTGCGTCGTCGTCCTTGGGCTGAGATGGGGAGGGGAGGTCGAGATGAAGAGAGGAGGGAGGGAGAGACAGCGAGCCCATGGAGAAGCGGAACCAAGAGCCGTCCCTGTCGTCGTCCTTGGGCTGAGAAGGGGAGGGGAGGACGAGATGAAGAGAGGAGGGAGAGTGACACAGCGAGGCCATGGAGAAGCGCAACCGGGAGCAAATCTGTCCGTCAGCGGTACGAAGGCGACAGCCCCCTCCACCTCCGTGCGGCCACCCAGGTATGCAGCGCATTGCTCTATTCCAAGGCGTGTGCCTGTCTTATTTGATATAGTGTGTGCGTGCCTGTCTAAATTGTTGTTGTGTATGATTTGCTCCGTCACTGCGCATTCCTACTATCCTAACGATGGCTGCCAAAACATTTGTTGTTCGTTCAGGTTCTTTCAATACTGCACCTGCTTCCTCTTCCTCTGCTTTGAATCGATCTTTAGTAGGTACGAACCATGGTCTTGAAGCTCATGCATGTTCACTGTTTTCTGCAGAATACATGGATAATTAAAACCTATACGGGAGACGGACATTCTTCTTCCACTTCTCTACATCATGCTACCCACTGGGTGTGGATATTCACCTCCACCAATTTCATTGATCCCATGTGCTACTTCAGTTTATTAGCTACGTTTATACACTGTTCTTAAAGGCCTAAGCCAAAATAGCATGTTAATTCCCTGCGCAATTTTTGTTATCCTAATACACCTTGGCAAAAAAAATTGTTCTCAAGATCGAACTCACAGTACTTAACTTTATACCTTCAATGCTTTTAACTGGGTGTGTGATTCTTTTGTTACTAAATAAGATTAGCTTCTCCCTATGCATCTGTTGTTTGTTTGATAATTTATTGGGCATGTTTTCAACTGGAAGACACAAAGGAGGTGGCGTAGTGGCATGGAGATCCTGGTGTTGAGTGTCTTGTTTGTCTGGGTACTGTTCTGAATACATGGTAACACTAATTATTGAGGCTAAATGATATTGTTATACCGCTTTCTTGGCCTAAATATTATTTAGTAAACATCTTTGTTCCATATCCTATTAATATGCGTGCATCTTCTCAATTTATTCCCATTGGTGCAATGCCTATTTGATTTTATTATTAGGTATTATGGGAAAGTTAGTACTAAGTACCGCCCTTGAGCAAGCGCTTTCTATTTATGTGATTCGGTTAACGAATTCAGTTTTCCGTGGCCGATGAATACAGTAGGAGCCTGGGACCTTTTAACCGCAGAGATGCTCAATTAGTAATAAAAAAATGCATCATTTCTTTGTTGGAATTCTATTGGTTCGGCCATCGACACGTCTCTCTTCAAGGCAAGGTCAGGTCTAAGGTGAGCTCGTCATATTTTCTTTCTTCAATCTCAGGTGAAGATTTATTTCCTGTGCACTAAGATCCATTTTTTATGTGAATGAGGAGGCCAGACAGCATTTTACGAACCGTTTATGTCTCTGAACCGGACCATACCGTGGGTGATTGACGATTGTCTTAGTGTGCATAGCTATATTCTTGGGTGCATGTTAGATCTAATAATTTTGACAATATGTTAGGTGACCAACGAAAGATTTGCTGATACGTTCGCATTTATCGAGTTCGGTGCAGAAGGTATTATTATATCTTCAGATGCTACATTTACATTTTTTAGCAGTTAATTGATGGTTTGATACATGGCACATTTAATATAGTGGGTGCTAGAGCTGCACTTAACCTTGGCAGCACAATGTTTGGGTTCTACCCTGTTAGAGTCTTGCCTTCAAAGACAAGTATCTTACCTGTGAATCCAGAAATTCTTCCGGTGGTAGGTTGTTTGATGTTTCACCTTCTGCCAGCTCTATTCTACTTATCCACAATACTAACAACAATATCCTATTCTTCCTGGCCCGTAGATGGAGGATTAGAAAGAAATGGTCCTATAAACGGTTTATTGTAAAATATGGACAAGAAGGTACACACTCATGTTCTACTTTGACATCGTATTGTCTTTCATTTCTCACTTACATTTTTTTTATTTCAAGACACCGCAATCAAGTCAGATGTTTAATTATAATTTACATGTTTTCTCTGCAGG